CGCATCTCACCCTGCCGGCTTGCGGGCAGAGGGGGTAGGGGGATGCTCCTGCAGTGCCCCCGCCCCCGCCCCCGCCGTGCAGTCTCTGTCCACCCCGGTCTGGGGCCCGGGACTGCACATGCACACCCACACGACAGACTCGCACGCTCAACAGCTTGAAGCTTTTGCCTATGAAAATTAGATTTATAAATTCACACTCCTTGGCTGGGGCAGAGGACTAAGGGGTGCTCAGAGGGACCGGGAGTGGCAGGGAGAGTCGGGACGTCGGGCTGTTCTCTTTAGAAATATACAAGCAGGAATCTCTTTCCTCAGGTTTTTATAAAATGTGCAAAATACAAGCCTCGTTTGCCCACAGGCACAGTTTACACCTGGTAGTGACCTTGGCTAAGAGATCTAGGTTCACCCTACATACTCACGCACACATGCATTCGTACACAAGCTCCCACAACTGATACTGGTGGCAACTGGCGCAGGAACCGGAAGGTCCCGTTGCTGGCTGGCTCTCTAAGCTTCTAGAACAGGGACGGGAAGAGGGGTGGGGCCCAGCTGAAGTAGCCGCCCTGGCTCTCCCGCCCTGGTCCCCCAGCTGCCACTGCCGCCTCTGGGGTGGACGGGCCGCCCGAGGGAGCGTCGGGCACAGCCCGGAGGGGCAGGCGTGCTGGGGCCGGGGGAGACACAGCTGCAGCGGGCATGGGGCGGGGGCGCGGTCGGTAGGGCCTGGGAAGCAGCGTGCGTACCAGCTCCGTTGGGGGGTGGTGGTGGGGGGGGGGCAATCTTTTTTGGGTGGGTGGTGTTTTTTTGGGCTTTTTTAAAAAATGGAAAAATTTTTTTTAGCTTAGCCCTCGTGGTGCTTCCCCCCCCCCCCCCCCCCCCCCGGCAGACCCCAAAAGTGTCAGGGAAAGGCAAGCCCCCCGGAGGGGTGGGGGGGGGGCTAAAGCAGGGGCTGCTATGGCTACAAGAGGGTGAGCTGGTGATGGGAGCCAGGGCGCCTGTCACATGACGCTCTCCACCACCACCACCTTGCTGCTCTCGGACACTGGGGTCAGGGTGGTCAGGCCCCTGACATCCGAGTCCTGAGCTCTATACTCCAAGTGGTGGAGGCCCCACACAGGCTGCGTCAGGTGCTGCCAACGCTGCAGGGGAGAGGGACACGTTGAGTCCCTGGGCGATGGCCCGGGGAGGGGAGGGGTGGGGGAGGTGCCCATGCTAGCCCTCGGCCTCTGTCCACTCCCCCCCCCCCCGCCACCGGTTGGGGGACCAAGGGCCCTCCTCCCGTGGGTACTGACCACACACCCCACTCTCTATACCAGGGAAAGGGGTAAGGGGCAAGGGGCAGACCCGTCTTCTCCCCACAGGGACCTCAGGCCCCGGAGGCTCTGCCTTCCTTCCACCCCCCTCCCCCGAGCCGGCCCCGGAGACTCCCAGCGCCGGTCCGTCCTAGCGGGCGGGAGAACGGGCCCTTGGGACGGAGACGGAATGCCTTGAGCCGGTGCGAGGCAGGGAGTGGAGTAAGGGAGAGGCGGGACGGGAGAAGACTGACCTCAGCCATGGTCCCCTTGGCTCTGAGGAGGCAGCCCAGGAGGTGGAGGGGCACACACAGCATGGAGGAGAGCGCGAAGCCCCAGCCCATGGCCTCGCCCCACCACGGGTACACGTAGGTGTTGTTGTAGACCAGCGGCTTGTAGTACACCACGTTGAAGGTGAAGATGCCCTGCGGGTGAGAACCCCGGCTCTCAGCCGCCGGAGGTCCCTCGGCGTCCCTCCCCCTGCCCAGCCTCCCCTGGCCCTTACCATGCAGACCAGTGGGGTGAAGAAGGACCAGCACCATTTCATCCAGGGGCAAGGTCGGTATCCGATCATGCAGGCCACGTCATCCATGAACCTGTCGGCTCCTGGGGCGGGTGGGGCACGAGCGCTGGAGCTAGAGACCTCACCTCCCCTGCAGGCCACGCCCCCTCCCCCCCACCCGGCCCCGCAGACCTACCGTACACCCAGGCGACCACCACGCACTCCCAAAAGGCCTGCCAGAGCAGGGTCGTGCCGCTGGCCGAGTAGTAGTCAAACAGCTGGAAGACATACATCCCGCCCTGGGGACAGAGCCCGGTCAGGGGAAGCGGCGGGGCGGATGGAAGCTGCGGGGGGCGGGCAGGGGGGAGAGGGGGAGCCCCCGTCCCGGCCCCACTCACATCGGTCACCATGGAGAGGTCGATGACAAAGCAGAGGGCACAGCAGAGGGCCACAGAGATTTCCCTTTGGAAACGGAAGTAGTAGGAGGCCGGGAGGAGGTCGAGCAGGCCAGTGATGAAGCCTTCCACACCTACAAACTGTGGCCAGGCGCTGAGGCCACGCCCCTCCCCCCTCCCTGCCGGCCAGCTCCCCTCCCCCCCTGCCCCCCCATCTCCCCCCGCCCCCATGTTCTGTCACCCCTGGCAAACCTGGCTGTCCAGGCCGAGCAGCAGCAGCATGAAGAAAAACAGGGCAGCCCAGAGGGGGGCCACAGGCATCAGCGTGACGGCCCTGGGGTAGGCGATAAAGGCCAGGCCTGGCCCTGAAGGGGAAGGGGCAGGGTTCAGACACGGGTGTGCCCCACCCGCGTTCCACGGTCATCGGTCATCGTCGCTTGCCTTCCTCGTCCCCCCTTCCCAAAGGGATGGACATGGACGCCAGCCCATCTCGTGGCCGAGGGCCCTGCCCTGCCTCTCGGGTCAAGGTGTTGCCGGGTGTCACTCGAGCCCCTAAGGGCGGGTCGTCTGACTTGGACTCCCGGCCTCGGATTCCAGCCGCTACTGCGGTCACAGGTCCCCGTGAAGCCCGGGAAGACCCTCCTCTCGCCCTGCGCCCTCCGGCAGATGGGAGGGGCGGTGGGCTTCCGTGGTCACGTTGGCCTCACAGATGGGCGGGGCCTGCGCCAAGGCCCTAGGGCCGGGTGGACAGGAGGAGCTCAAGGCTCCGCGGGGCCGGGCCCACGAGGCTCCAGCCCTCGGGAACAGCTGGGCCTCCCTCTGGCCCAGAGGGACGGGCCAAGTTCGGGGACCGTTTCTTCCGGCTCCCAGGATGACCCCTGGCGCGTGTGTCTGCGAGCGCGGTGCGCCGGAAGGCCAAGGCCGCGGCGGCCCGGGGGCGGGGGGCGGGGGGGGGGGGTCTTTACCTGACTCCGCCACCTTGGAGATGTGCACGCCCTGCTCTGCGGCCATGAAGCCCAAGATGGAGAAGACCACGAAGCCAGCGAAGAAGCTGGTGCCGCTGTTGATGAGAGCCAGGATGATGGCGTCCCTGGGGGCAGAGGGGCGGTGGTCAGGCTGCCTGCTGCCCAGGGGCGGGGCGGGGCGGGGGGGGGGGGGGGGGGGGGGGGGGGCACCTACTTGTAACAGTTGTTGTTGAAACGGTTGTAGCTGCCCAGCGCCGTCAGGGCCCCCAGGCCGATGGCATAGGAGAAGAAAATCTGGGTCCCGGCATCTATCCACACCTGCGCGGGGTCGGCCAAGGGAGGATGTGAGGGGCCCTGCGGCCTGGCCCGCCCCCCACCTCACTCCCCCAACACCTCGCCCTCACCTGAGGGGACCCCAGCTTCGACCAGTCAGGCTTGAGATAGTAGATGATGCCGTCCAAGGCGCCGGGCAGCAGCACGCCACGCACCAGGAGCACGACGAGGACCACGTAGGGGAATGTTGCGGTGAAGTACACGATCTGGGGGGCCGGGCGGCTCAGAGGGGCCCTGCGGCACCCGCCTCCCCCTCGGGGCCCCCAGCTCGGCAGGACGGCCAAGCGGGCCACACTGCCCCCTCGACGGCAGGCTGCTCCGAAGCCGGGAGGGAGGTCGGCCAGCAGCCCCCCTCTGCTCCCCCAAGCCTCGGCTCCTCCCCGAGGAAGCTCCACGCCGGGGCTGGAGCGGGAGCAGCTCCACGGCCGGCACAGGTCAGCGGCAGACGGAGGGAAGAGGTGGGGAGCGGGACAGCAGCCGGGGGGCAGATCTCGCGCCCCCCCCCCCGGCCCCCGACAGCACGTCACTGTGCAGAGAGGCCGAGTCTGGTAGTCGGGGCCAGACCCCGCCGGCCAGAGAGCGACACGGCGCCCCATTGACTCCGGCCTCCCGTGCACGCTGAGCAGAGCAGGACAGGCGGGCAGGGGAGACCATAGCCTGGGTGCCCCCCGCCCCCAACCAGGGCCAGCACAAGGGAGTGAGGAATAGAGAGAAAGCGGGGCAGGGGCAGGCGGCAATGCCCCGACACAGGCAAGGGGCGGCGGCTGCCTGGGCTTCTCCCCACCTCAGGAGGGAGAAGGTGGGTGGGGGGGGGAGGACGCTCCAGGCGTGGGTGGAGGAGTTTGGAGGTGGGAGGGGAGGACGATCCACGCCTGGGCGGGGGAGTTTGGAGGGACAGGGGGTGGGGGAAGGGGGGGACACAATCCAGGCCTGGGTGGGGGAGTTTGGAGGGGCGGGGAGGACAATCCTGGCACGGGTGGGGTAGTCTGGAGGGCAAGGAAGACGGTCCAGGCATGAGCGGGAATGGAGCAGTCTCGATTCAAGGACCTGCTTCGTGCTCAGGCCGTGGCCCCGGCCCCCTTCCCTGGCAGCGGTGGTCCCTGGCAGAGCCCGCCCTTCTCTCCCCCGTGCCCCACCATGGCCGTGCTGCCCCCAGCCCGGCCGTGACACCCCCAGCCCTGCGGGGGCCTCCGGCCGTACCTTTCCTGTGGACTTGACCCCCTTCCAGACGCAGAAGTAGACCAGCACCCAGCAGGCCAGCAGACACAGGGTCACCTCCCAGTTGAGGGCCCCTGGCACCTCCAACCCCTCGGAGAGCCGCAAGACTTTGTTCCTAGGGGAGGGAGAGCCCGTGAGCGCTGGGCCAGCAGAGGGTAAAGTGACTGGGAGCTGCCCCAGGGGTGGCGCTCCCCGCCCTGCCGCCCTCGGGTCCAGGTGGGGCCCTCCTGGGCGCCGGCGCACGCGGACTCGCGCCACGTGTAAAGCCCAGAGAGAGGTCCAGGCGAGCAGCGGCTCAGAGGTGTTGGGCCGCCTCCCAGAACTCCGTGATGGGGGACACATGGCCAGCGGGTTGGTCACACCTGGGCCAGGCTAGGGCATTTGCAGACACAGACTTGGGGGCGAGGTAGGTTTGGCAGGAAACAGTCACGTGCCAGCAGCCTCACAAGAGGGGTCTCTCGGGAATGGCACCAGGGGTGGTTTACGCAGGTGTGCGGGTGAGCTCAGGTGACGTCATCCGCTAAGGGGCAGAGCTTCTCAAGGGAGCCTCATTCACTCTGTGGCTCAGGGAGGGCTTGGAAGCCAGAAGTATAAGCTGAGGAACCATGCAGGCCACAGACCAAGGTGCAGGTGGTGTGACCGGCACAGCTAAAGGTCAGGGTTGCCCATTGCCCTGGTGACCCTAGCAGTCCAGATGGCCCTGAAGGCCATGAGGGCCCCCATGGAAATGGTGAGGGAGAGGCAAGTGCTACAGCCAGGGGAGACCCACGGGTCACATAGGTGCCACAAGCTCCTGGCTCCGGGCAGAGACGCCACACCAGGACCTGGAGGACATGCGGTACCATGGCCAGGGGACATGCGGGGTGTCGCGCTGTGCATATGCTGCATCAGGGCTGGGTGTGCCTGTCAGGCCCACAGCCAGAGGACCAGGAAGCCAGGTGCCCCCCGTTGTACCTGTTTGAGGCATGGCTGGCTGGCCAGGGGAATGGATCTACAGGAGGCAATGGGACAGCGAGGAGAGGGGGTCAGCCTGGGGGCACAGAGGAAGGAGGGTCCAGGGAGGAGCCGGGGCTGTCCTGGAGCAAAGGGGCCATTGGTGGCCAGGGCAGATGGTGGGGAGAGATGATCTGAGGGACCAGGAAGGAGGGGAGCAGACCTGGGGGGACTGTGAGGGGTGAGAGTGGTCAGAGGGGGAGCAGGCCTTGGAGTGATAAGGAGGCCAAGGCACAGACAAGATTGGTATTGGGTGGTGCCTTAACTGACTCTCCACCAGCTCTCTCACTGTACCTTTCCCATCAGCCACGTAGACAGAGGTGGCCCGCCAGTCCCTGTCTCCAAATGGCCAATCCTACAAGGGACAATTCAAAAGGAGCTCATGGTATCTGGCAGCATCCTAGCTATGTTAGCTGTAAAAGGAGCCCAGGTTGGGGGTGGTGGAAGGTGGCTGAGGTCAATCACTATTCTAATGGTGAATTGGAATTACCCACAGGTAAGATCTAAGGAGGTACATGTGGCATACGGGGCCTGTCACTACCTGCGGGGGCAGAGAGAGATGGGGCAGAATTATCACATTAATTTGATTTTCTTTTTCCCTCACTTTTAGCTGACTAATTGCTGAAGACCCTGGCCAACTCCACATTTCCATCACCTCCCATCTTGGCCAGTTTTCCCTGTTGGTTTGGCCCATGCAGCACTTTGTGCCCCGCTTTCTTGCTAAGCGCAGGCCAGAGAAAGTTGTCTAAGACCGACCTAGTGGCCACCCTGGGCAGTTCATCTTTCCCTAGGGCACTGGTTCCTATGCCAGCTGCCACTTTATCATGAGGGTTTAATTAGTTGTACCGGACTTTGGGCACTCTTGGCTTTATGATTTTCTGTCGTTGCGGGGGAGGGATTTTTTTTTTTTTAAGAGAGCGATGCAGGGAGGGGAAGGGGGATTGGGGGAGAGAGAATATTAAGCAGTCTCCATGCACCGTACAGATCCCCAATACAGGGCTCAATCTCACAACCCTGGGATCATGACCTGAGCTGAAATCAAGAGCCAGGCACTAAACCAGCTGAGCCACCCAGACTTCGTTTGCACGAGATCAAACAACCCAGAAACAGTGGAATTGTAATTTTGTGGCTTACTGACCTTGTTTCAGATCTGTAAAGAAAACTGGTTGAGACAATTAGTTAAGTGGGGCAGGAAAAGGAGTTAGCTCTCTGTACTGTATCTGGTTTCCTACAACGTTTTTAAACTTGCCCATAGTTTTAAAGTAGTTTTTCTGTGGATTACATCAGTTTTTTCCATAGATGATCAGGTTGTATACAAATAAGCGAGTTTTACTTTCTTCTTTCCAATCTGGGTGCCTGTTTCTGGTTAATTTCTCACCTCACAGTAGGACTGCGTTTTCCTGCTTCTTCACCTGCCTTGTAATTTTAGATTGGATGCCAGACATCATGAAATTTTGCCTTGGTATTTGTGTTCCCAAACATATTCTTGGGCTTTGTTCTAGGATTCTTTTTTACTTGGAAACAGTTTGATCCTTTCAAGTCTTACTTTTAGGATTTGCTCAGTGACACCAGAACAGATTTTAGTGGAGGATTAATTTAACTAGTTAGCAACCTCCAATGTTAGACAAGGTTGCGGTTAGAAACAAGGACTCTTATCAGTTGAAGAAGTAGTAAAATGCATGTGGGCATTTATTTGGCACTTTCTGTTAATATTTAAGATGTTCACTCCCTTTGACCCACCTTTGGGAATCTATCATAGAAAAATGCATGTGCAAATAAGGCAGAATCAAGCAGGATGTTAATTATAACATAATGTAAAAAATTGGATGAATGTAATGTAAAAAACTGGATGAATGTAACTGTACATTGAGTAAAGACTCAAGATGTCAGGACTTCAGGGGGGTTCAGTCGGTTAGACGTCTGCCTTCGGCTTGGATGATGATCCCAGGGTCCTGGGATTGAGACCTGCATCAGGCTCCCTGCTTGATGGGGGGCCTGCTTCTCCCTCTCCCACTCCTACTGCTTGTGCTCCCTCTCTCGCTGTCTCTCTGTCAAATAAATAAATAAAATCTTTTTAAAAATAATTTTTAAAAAGGAATCAAGTGGGTAGAAAGTGAAAGCATACAATTAAATTAAAAAAATATGAAACCATTAAAATAAAAGGAGAAAGTCCTGATGAAAAAGTGTATGCATGATACAAAACCCAGGAGCCATGCATGAATAAAAATGAATCCATGTCGGGGCGCCTGGGTTGCTCAGTGGGTTAAGCCTCTGCCTTTGGCTCAGGTCATGATCTCAGGGTCCTGGGATTGAGCCCCACATCGGGCTCTCTGCTCACTGGGGAGCCTGCTTCCTCCTCTCTCTCTCTCTCTCTCTGCCTGCCTCTCTGCCTACTTGTGATCTCTCCGTCAAATAAATAAAATCTTTTAAAAAATGAATCTGTCTAAATACAAGGAAATATCAAGTTCTTTGTGGTAGAGAACACCATAAAAGCATCAGATGGGACTCAACTGAGAAAGTTATTTATAAGTCAAACAGTAAACAAAGCAGGATGTGAAATCCAGAAGCAAAAATCCAAAAAACAAAAAAACAAAACAAAACAAAACAAAAACCACCAATGTCTAATTACACAAAGATGTTAGGCTCTATTATGGAAGAAAACATCATAAATAAAATGAAGGGGCACCTGGGTGGCTCAGTGGGTTAAAGCCTCTGCCTCCAGCTCAGGTCCTGATCCCAGGGTCCTGGGATCAGATCGAGCTCCACGTCAGGCTTTCTGCTCAGTGGGGAGCCTGCTTCCCTTCCTCTCTCTCTGCCTACCTCTCTGCCTACTTGTGATCTCTGTCAATAAAATCTTTAAAAATAAATAAATAAATAAATAAATGAAATGAAAAGACAAACAAGTTAGGAAAACATTAGTAACCCAAATGGTAAACTAAAGCTAATATTTTAAAAATGTAAATAACTCTAAGAAATAAATACATAAAAGACAAACATCGCAGTAGGGTGCCCTTGGGTGGCTCAGTGGTTTAAGTGTCTGCCTTTGGCTCAGGTCATGGTCTCAGGGTCCTGGGATCAAGCCCCACATCAGGCCCTCTGCTCAGTGGGGAGTGCTTCACCCTCTCTCTATGCCCCTTCCCCCGACACTTGTGCTCACTCACTCTCTGTCTCAAATAAATAAATAAAGTCTTTTAAAAAAAGTCAAATAACCCAGTAGAAAAATTATACAAATGACAAGAACATAGAATTCATGGAACAAGGATTGTAAACAGACCATTTGGTACATGGTATTGTTACCAGCAGGAAAGTCTCTTGGATCCCCAACCAAAGAGTTACATGAGGATCCGCGCTCAAATAAAGACAGCTGGAAGGAAGGTAGCAAGCACAAAGCAGTTTATTAAAGACAGTACATTCTCAAGTTGGGAGAGTGGACAGGCCCAGACGTGGCAACTGCACCAGGACTAGCTGGGGGTGTCGTTTCTTTTTGTTTGTATAGGTTATGGGTCATAGCTAGCAGGGGGAGGGGGTCTCTGACTGAGGTTGTTTCCAATCATCTAAGGGACTCCTACCAGTTGGGAAGGGGAGTTTTGGGCCCTACAAGGTAATTGCCAGAACTGTCAGGGCCATCTTCCCTCAGGGTCGGTTGGGGGCAGGGGGGACAGGAGGGGTTGAAACCACAATGTAAATATATTATAATGAAGCTATGGGTTACCCTGGGGCTGAGGTGGAAGAGGAGGGCACAGGGTGTTCTCAGGCTTCCAACCTATCACCTCTTTATCACCACCTCTGCCTCCAGCTCATGTCTAACTAAATGCCCACTTTAACGGTATGATCCTCTTTGTGAAAAAAAAAAAAAAAAGATGAATGCGGAATAATATATCCTAGGGAAAAAGCTAGAACACACATCAAACTGTTCAGAGTGGTTACTACAGACACTGAGATCGTGAGAAATTTTTACTTCCTAACAACACACCTTTGTGTAAGGTATGAATGATTTTATAATAAGCATATATTATAGTTGGAAAATTTTAAAATATCTAAGCATCCGGAATTGTAAATACACTATGATTCCAGTTTTGTTTTCCGAGTTTAAATATTCATGTACATACATTTGTAGTTCAGAAAGAAACCTGAAAGAAACCATCAAAATGTTCACAGTGGTTCCCTCTGGGTGGTGAGACTGTACAGGCGTTATTGGGGGAGAATCACTTTATAAGTTTCTGTGACTGCACAACTTCTCCAATGACCACTCTGACTTCCATAAACAGAAAACAATGTATCAGAGTCAAGAACCACAACGGAAATATTGGATCTTGGCTGAAAATGGGGAGGGGGGACCTGGCACACAAAACAAGATTCACCAAATGGATTCAGCCCCAAAGCATCAGGCATGTGTGGCCCCAGCAGAGAGAGCGAGTGTGGTGGGAGTTGATGTAACCAGTGCCTGGGAGGCACTTTCTTTCCCAAGGGCCTTGAGCAAAGCCATCTTCCCCTCCTTGTTCTGCAGACTACAGATGACGGGGTTCAGCATGGGAGTGAGGACCACATACAGCACGGACAGCACCCTGTCCCGCGAGTATGCAGAGCTGGGGAGGATGTAGCAGAGGACTGAAGTGACGTAGAACACACAGACCACCGTGATGTGGGCAGCGCAGGTAGAAAAGGCTTTTCATCGGCCCTTAGCGGAGCGGATCCTGAGAACAGCAGCCACGACGTGCATATAAGAGATCACAACCAAGGCACAGGGCTCAAGAGCCACCACAAAGCTGAAGAAAAACAGGGCAAGTTCATTGGCCTGCGTGCTTGAGCAAGAGAGTTTCATCATTGGAGGGAGGTCGCAGAAGAAGTGGGTGATAAGGCGAGGCCCACAGAACTTGAGTAGAGCCGCAAGGATGGTGTGGGTGAGTGCGTTGGCCAAGGCAAGCAGGCCAGAGATTGAAGCCAGCCCTGTCCGGGTCCGTGGGCCCATGAGGACTAGATAGGGGCTGGCAGATGGCTGCATAGCGGTCGTAGGCCATGGCTGTGAGCAGGAAGCACTCCCAGGGAGCCAGGAAGTGGAGAAAGAATATCTGGGTAAGGCAGGCATGATAGGGTATGGTCCGCACTGGTGCCAGCAGGTGTACCAACACCTGGGGCACCGTGTTGGAGATATATGCAATGTCCAGTAGTGAAAGGTTGGCTAAGAAGAAGTACATAGGGGTGTGAAGTTGGGAGCCCATTACAATAAGGCTGACAATGCCCAGGTTCCCACCACAGCCACTATGTAGACCAGCAGAAAAATGGCAAAGAGCAAGTGCCACAACTCCTCTGTGTCAGTCAGCCCTTCCAGAAGACACTGGGACAGCAGGGTCTCGTTCCCCAGCTTCATGGAACCAGGCACAGAAACCTGTAGAGTCCAACTCAGAGTCAGACAAGGATCTATGTTTGGAGGTTCCAGTTTAAAAGGCAGTGGCGGGGGACGCCTGGGTGGCTCAGTTGGTTAAGCGGCTGCCTTCAGCTCAGGTCATGATCCCAGCGTCCTGGGATCGAGTCCCACATCGG